GTACACACCCCTATTATGAAACTAATTTATACCTTTTATATGAAAGCTATAACCAAATAGCCTAAGAATATGAGGAGGGGGGAGGGAGAAGGAAGGGGGGAATGAGTGGAGGGAGGGGGTTTGGAGGGATCACTTCTGAGGTTTATCTTATAGGGGTATAAGTTAATCTTTCTAAGAGTAGAATGTGAACATTTTAAAACATTAACTGAGAAAATGACATGAAGGCTGTGTTGACCATTTTGATGGAAGTATTTCAGATTGCATGTTGAAAACCCCACACTGTACCCAAGAAGTGCATTAACTTACATAGTTACCATTCAATTAAAAAAAAAAAAAAAAAGGAGTTTGAGAAGTTGTGGTGTTGTAAAGACATCTCGGGCTTATATTTTGGGCTGTCATCGAATACGGGTCAATTATATGCTCATAATTCCTAAATCTGAGTTACTAGGCCAAACCATTAGAAAGTTCTTGTATTAGAAGACCCTAAATGTACCTGGTGAGACTCCCAGGAACAAACATTTACTAAAAAGGAATGGGAGTCACATATTCAGGTTCATTTCTACCAACCTGATTGATGATTCTCTTGTTATTATAGAAGTTGGTTAGGCAGATTCTGAACACAATATGAAGACAGGGTCCTGGCATCTATGATAATAAAGGCAGACTTAGCCTACACATTTTTTAGTGCCTTATATATGCCAACTACTTCTGTGCACATCAATGAAGGCAAGCACAACTTCCATTTATTCCAGAACAAAGTACAGTATTTGTAAATATAATCATCTCCTAATGCAATGTATTTATTCAGTGACTAACAAGTTTTCTGAATCTATCCACGGAAGGAGAAATGAACCAATTGTTCATCAGATTGAGCATCTGGGTCGTCCCTAAGCTTATACCCTCCATGGTGCCTCTCTATGCAACCCAAACAGATGTGAATAGCAATGCATGCTGAAAACAAACAGCTGCGTCTACATTATACACATAATCAACGGCAAACTTAGCTATTCAGTAGGGTTTCCATTTGAATGCAGATTTGCCACTCAAAAAAATGTGAGCAGGAATGTTGCCAGTTTATGTCATGAAATCTCCTTGTATTCAGACAAACAGCCATGGTGATAGACAAAAGTAAATAAAAGATATGTGCATAATGAGCATGAAAATGTAAAATTTACTTTTACAAGAAAATCCCCCCTCTAAAGAGTCTGGATGTGGGCACCTGTGGCTCAAAGGAGTAGGGTGCCAGCCTCATATGCTGGAGGTGGTGGGTTTAAACCCTGCCCTGGCCAAAAACTGCAAAAAAAAAAAAAAAGAAAAGAATCTGGATATTTTTCCCCCTTTTTTGAGTTTCAGTAAATTCAATAGGCGGATTTCTTTTTTTTCCTGCATCCTTCTTTTTCTCCTCCTACACCCTCTTGCTTGGCTGTTCCACACACATTATTCTGCTAGAACTGCCGTTACAAAGTGCTACAGACTGGGTAGCTTAAACAACAAATATTTATTTTTTCATGGCTCTGGCATCTGAAAGTCCAAGATCAGGGTGTTAGCAGATTTTGGTTTTTCCTGGGGGCTCTCTCCTTGGCTTACAAATGGCACCTTCTCACTGAGTCCTTACATGGTCTTTCCTCTGTGAGATTCATCCTTGGTTTCTTCCTCTTCTTATAAGGATACCATTCTAGGTGATTAGGTCTCCATCCTTATGACTTCATTTAACCATAAATCATCTCTTTAAAAGGTCCTATCTCCAAACACAATCACATTAGGAGTTAGGGCTTCAACATATGAAATTGGAGGCAGGGAGCAAAATTCAGTCCATAACAGGTATCCTATATTCTATTTCTTTCTTCACTCTCCTTAACTCCTCTATTCTCAGGCAAGAGTGTTATAGATTCATTTCTATTACTTTTAAACATATAGACATCTATTAAAGGATTAGCTGTGTTTAAATAGACTTCAAGCTTCAGGCCAATGAGGAACTTTAGTCTCCATCAACAGGCAAAGCTGTAGAGCTTAGGTCAGAATTAGGGTTCGAAAGTAAGCAGCAAACTAATACGATGAGAGATTATAAATTCAAGTCCAGAGCTATAAAATTAAATAAAGTTTATTTCTCTTTTCTGTCATCCATCTGAACCTTTCTTTATTCAAAAAACATCAAAAAAATATTGTGGAGAAATGCCACTTTCTTGTTCTAAAGTTTCCTCAAGTTTCTCACTGATGGTTTATTTAAATGAGCATAGACTATTTCCCAGAGTAGTGTTTGGGCTTCTTCCTTAGGTAGGTGTTTCCCAAATCCTAGAAACCATTCCCAAAGGCCTGGCTTTGGATGGAGAGGGAGTGTTTCCTGGAATGCTGACAGTGGGCCACAGGGTTGCAGCCTTACCCTGAAGATCCAACACTGTCCGTTAGAGGCTGGTGTCAACCAAATGCCCAGGTTGTTGTAGCACCTGTTTCCTTCTGTTGATGGCATTAAGAATTTTCTTCCTAGGACCCAGCTGCATTTGTATGCTTTGAAGGTCCTCATCAGAGCAGAGCAACAGAGCTTCTAGGTCAATCTGCTCTCTCATGAAAATGGGAAGGAATTCTTCCAGGTGCTGGGACTGCAAGAACACCTCCAGGGGAGTAGCATCAACCACATCTTCCTCCCACGCTACTTCTCCTTCATCCCAAGGCAGATCATCTTCAAAGCCATTTTCCTCTCCCTCTTCATTAGCCTCAGCTTTGTCAGCTCCTTGTCTTTGAAACAATTCACTGGGCATTTTAAATCCCAACTCTGTCTTACTGTCTGAAATGTCTTCAGGACTTATTGCTCTGTTCCTTTGAAAAACAATGTTTCCTAAGCCTGGACGTTTGAGAATGGACTCATGTTGCACACCGCTGTCCTCCTCTGCTGAGAACTGGAGCTTCTCTTTGAATTTCCCTGAGAATGAGTCTTCTTCCTCCTCCATGAACATTTCCATCACATTCCTCTGACCATTTCTGCCTTCCTTCTCCATCTTCTCTGCTGTATCCTTACTCTTCTTGAATTTCATCTTGAAAGTGTCCTTAATGCCCTTTAGTGACCCAAAGGTACTGGAAGCAGAAGCACTTGAAAAAGATGAACTGGAGAAAGTGCCCTTGGAAGAAGAAAGAGTCCCAGATTCCTCCCTGTTATAGGTGCGGGCCATTTTATTTTGGTGCTTCTCCTGGAGCTTCTCACACTCTTTGATCTGTCTCCTGGCATTCTTTTGAGCCTGCTCCTTCAGCCTGGTGACCTTCTTGGGGTTCATAATGTTCTGGGTTGTGGCAGCCTTATCCAAGAGAGCAACACATTCATTCTGCTCCCTGCTGGCAGCAGCATCCAGCGGAGACCGTAAGTCATTATCCAAGGCAAAGATGTTGGCACCAAAGCTGACCAAGAATGAGACGCAGTGGGCATAACCATTAGAGGCTGCGTAATGTAGAGGAGTATTTCCCCAGATGTCACATTTGTCAGGGTCCCCTCTAAAAGATAAAAAATACACATTGAACTTTTTTTCTCAGAACACAAGGTATACAAATAACAAAAATAAAGAAAAATGCATGTTAATACAAACATGTTCATGCTGTCCTGATATCGTTGTTACAAGAAACCTGCTCTAAATCCAGATATGCTACATCTAGATACACCTATCCAGAAACAAAGAGTCCACCTTGACCCTATGTCTTCTTTTTGAATACAAGAAAAGCTTTCCAAGAAACTAGCAGGCCAACTTTTATGTCTCATCGGCCAGAACTGGGTCATATGCCTATGGGAAGGGAAATAGAGTACTATAATTAACTTAGATCAATTAGAATTTTCCCCTGAAGCTAAGTGGGCTAGTTTTCAGTGGTGTGTAGATAGCTCTCCAGTAGTTCTATAATTCAGTGGTGTTCTGATAAATGTTTAGCAAATGCCTCATGGAAAAACATCAAAGTCCTGATTTATAGTGTGTGCCAATTTCTATGGTATAAATACATTCACTGTAGCAAACATCAAGCTACCCAAGTGACATCATTGAACACAGAGTTTGGGAGAAATATGTGGTAGTATACCATTATAAATTATTTCTGCTATAGAGATCTAATAGATATGTATCATCTTAAGGGCATAGGTAAATATTAACATGTAGTAAAATATTAAAGAGTGATGAGTTTTGAGTGTCACCTTTTTATTTGTTAAATTAAAAGTTTACAAAATTTTATTTTTAGTAATGGCTATGTTTAACTGACTGTCAACTTTCCTAAAAAATTAGCAATAACCTCTCACAAGCTAGGGCTAGCATGCTACTGCTATCCTCCCCTGAGTCATAGGAGGGGAAATAAATAACAGAACAAAACTTGGTCTCTATCATTAGGATGTTAGGTAGGCAGCAAACAGTGTCTGTTACAATCATTATTCATTAAAAGGGTAGAGTATATCCTCAACTTACTTCCATGTAATGTTAGCATCATATATGTAAACAGTTCTATAAGAGTTTAAGGTGGAATTGAGGGTGCTATTAGATGGTATTAAGGCCAGAGACTCAATACCTGGTACAGAAATAGGGACATGGTAGGTACTTAATGAAGATCTGCAGAATGAGTGAATGCGTACTGGAATCCCACCTCAGGCTACAAGTTCTCCTCTCCTGTGAGGCCTTGACTTGCAAATAGGCACAGGTGAAAATTAATAATTGATTCTTGACCATGGCTTTAGCCCCACACCACTGCTGACAACTCTGATTATATTGGTTAAAGCAGGCTGCTAAGAAGGACAGGCAGTGGTGGTGAAAACACCCGGAGGGCCAGATAAATGTCATAGGCAGGCTGCATGTGGCCTGCAGGCCATAGTTTGAGGACACCTGAGTTAAAGGGTATCTTCCCTTGCCCTAGTCAAAACCTCAAAAATAGGATCTCACTAAACTCTAGACAGGCTGTCCCCATAGAAGAAGTCTAAGAAGTCCTCTTAACATTCCTGGTGAGTAGAAGGAAAACAACAACAACAACAAAAAAAAAAAAACAGAAGACTTTCACCCTTGCAATTGGCCTATTAGAGCACAAGGACCCCTCTGATAGTTCCCAGCTGCTCAAAATTCGGTCCCCAAACCAGCAGCAGAAGCATCACCTATGAGTTTGTTAGAGATGTAGAATCTTGGAATCCCAGGCCATACTTAATGAATCAGAATCTATAATTTAGTAAAATGTCCAAGTGATTTGTAGGCTCACTACAGGTTGAAAGAGCTTCACTAATTAATGAGGCCCATCCAGTATCTTATTTATGTGATAAATCATATTTGTAACTTTTCCATGGGAACCCCCAGTTGCCTTATGGGTTTCAGTTACCAAATATAATCACATTTACTGCTATCAACAATCACAATACCCTTCTTACAGAAGGAAGGCAAGAATTGTCACAGAGACTTAGAGAGCTTAATTGATTTGGCCAAGGGTAACAGGCAGCATACATTGAATCAGGCCAGCCTCCAAGTCTAATTGTCTCCAACACAAGCATAAATCAGTTTTTCCACTTTATCAACTACATACAAGACCTCAACCTTAGCTTTGCTAGAACTCAGTTTCCTCATCTGTAAATTGAGGATGATTATATTACTTAATCATAAGTTACTAAATGGAAAGCATTAGAAGAGTGGTTGGTGCATAGTGAATATTTAATAAACATTATTTATCATTTCCCTTGTCCCCAAACTCATAATCCTTAATTTCACTTGTTTATATTTTCTCATATTCATCTAGTAAATTCCTACAGCCCAAGAGCTATTATGGGCTTTTTTTTTTTTTTATCAGTTACACCTTACTTAATTTGTCAAATATGAATGCACTGCCTCCTTAATTAGACAATATGCCCCAGAGGGCAAAGCCTTTGTCTTTTCCCCCTTCCTGTTATCTGTAACTCTCCTAACAACCTAACCCCAAGAAGCTAAGTAGATAATGTAACTGAATGGAGTCAGGTTTGTACTTTCAGGAAAGTCATAGTATTAAGTGTATAGTCCATCTAGAAGGACTCAGCTGTGAGATGCTATCTCAAAAGCAGAAACAATATAGTCAGAGCTTCTACTTTTCAAAAAGAGCCAGAAATCTGGAATTTCATGTGAATTATTTTATTTTTAAGTGTTGGCTCAAGTTTAAAAGAATAATATAGTGAAGTTCAAATAAAATACATTTGTGGACGAGTTCCAGCCCATACACTGGCAATTGGCAACCTCTTCCTGGGCAGAGAGGATAGTGTAAGCAGATGCACAGATGGCTGATTTTATATGCCATATTTGGGAAACGAAGAGTATAGATCACTGTGATCAGGGTGCATGGAGCTGGGAATAAGGGAAAAGAGTAGGAAGGGAAAGGAAAGAAAATGAAATTGAATCTAAGGAAAGCAAACAGTATTAAGTAACAGTTTTGTTGGGCAGCCACTTTTAAAGAGACTCTGGTCAACCATGCTGACTTAGTTTTGGATAAAAGGAGATCCCTTTCAACCTTGGCATAGTCCTACATCTTAGGGGAGCATAGTGCCCACCCCCAAACACATGGCTTCACTTTTTATTTATTTTAACCAAACACTAGATTCAAAAGATTCCTCAAGTACCCTAGACATCAAAGAAGGATTGTGAAACATCCAAGACACTACTATAACACAAACAAAAACCTACTGATTAAGTTTGCCTGAAATTACCTTTGGTTTGGATAACTTAAAAACAAAATTATTGGGAGGAATGAGCTATGGTGGGAATGTAGCAGTGTATTAAGAAGTCAGAGTTCAATCTATATGCTTAGGACCATAGACTAGTAGAATTTTCCCATTCCACTGACTCTTAAATGATGCTTTCAAGAGACAGAACATAAGAAAATCTGAGATGACCCTTAAGATGGGTTTTCTTTTGAGAAAATTTCAAATGGCAAATTCCAAATTTATAGTTGAAATTGGCAAAAAGATGGTTGATGAGTTTTCTTAGTGCATTTAAGCTATTTACACTTGCAAAATTTCTATTTACAATTTTCCAATTTGATATACAACTTAAATAAAAATATTTGCTAATGACAAGTTTCACATGATCCTTCTAAATGCAACCTTTGTTATCTTTCTTATTTCTTGATGGAACCATTGCATATACCTGCCCAGGTATTCACAAATAGGGCCCCTCATTGGATGATCTGAGTCCAACACTGATGCACTATGCTTTTCTTGGGCTAAGCTCAGTCTTGTGTTGATTTTTTCCTATTCCTTTTTTTTCCCTCCAAAAGAGAAACTGACTGAAGAGTTGGGGTTTTTTGTTTTTTTGAGACAGAGTCTCGCTTTGTTGCCCTGGTGTCATAGTTCACAGCAACCTCAGTCTCTTAGGCTCTAACAATCCTCTTGATTCAGCCTCTTGAGTAGCTGGAGCTACAGGTGCCCACCACTAAAGACATTTTTTAAATAATCCATATTTTGCCCTTGATTTTTGGTAAATCAATGCATTTGGGCAATACTTTTTAAAATTAGTTTAGTATTAATATCACTAAATAGACAATTTGCTTAAATTACTCTAAGCGTATATTCCTAAAATTGATTGGAGTTTTTGTGACGTGCTCAGAAAAAAAATTCTTCTTTTGAAAATGTTTTTTTTACATAAAAAGTAACATTTGGGCTAATAATCAAAGAAATACAAATTCAAACAAGACACTACCATTTTTTTGCCCATCAGATAGTCAATGATTAAAAAGAATAGTAATACTCTTTTGGCAGGAGTGTCGAGGAAAGAACACTGCTGGAGGAAGCATAAAAGTTTGGTTCAAATTTCCTGGCACAATAAAAGGCCAGATTCAAATTGTGTAATGAATAGGCAACTGCTTAAATAGATTATGGAACCAATCTAAGTGTCCATCAATGGTTGAATGGATAAAATAATGGTATATATACATATATGGAATATTATTTAGCCTTAAAAATCAAAGAAATCTTGTCATTTTCAAAAATGTGGATTAATCTGAAGGACATTATATTAAGTGAAATAAGTCAGGCACAGAAGGACAAATACTTCATGATCCCATTTATGCATGAAATCTAAAAAATTTGAACTCATAAAAGCAGATAGTAGAATGGTTACCAAGGACTGAAGGTTGGGGACTTGAGAAGTTAGTCAAAGAATACAAAATTTTAGTTAAACAGGAGGGATAACTTCAGGAGATCTATTGTAAGCCTAGTTAATAATGTGTTGTATATATGAAATTTGCTAAGAGATTTTAAGTATTCTCACCACAAAAAAATAGGATATGAGGTAATACATGTTAATTAGCTTGATTTAACCATTCCACAATTTACAAATATTACAAAACATGTGTATACCACATATACACAATTTTTATTTGCCAATTAAAAAATAAATAAGAAAATAATAAAACAGAATACCATGTAGTTATTAGAAGTAATGGCATGGATCTCAACTTTTTTCCCTTTTTAATTATTCTGGGTACATACTAGTTGTATAGGATTTATGTGTGATGTTTTAATA